TCATAGTTACCAGAAAACACCACATTTGACCTGAAAGAATGACTTTGCATTAACTTTAGGATCCCTGTGTCCCCTGTTTCCCAGACACTGAGGAGGTCTCTCAGATTGTAGCAGTGTATATGTTGAATTATGTGTTGAGTAAAAGGCCCTTCACTCTCTTTTTTTAAATGTTTTAACAATTTCACACACACACACACACACACACACACACACACACACACACACACACACACGTGTGTGTGTGTGTATGTATATATATGTATATATATAATGTATTTTTTTCCTGCACGTCCATGTTTATTGTAGGTCAATTCACAGTAGCCAAATTACAGAATCATTTTAGGTGCCCAACAGTAGAGGAATAGATAAGGAAAAAGTGATATTTACACCCACCAGAGTTGCAGGATAGCCAGGGCTGCACAGAGAAACCCTGTCTCAAAAAACAAACAAACGAATAAAACAATATAATGTATTTTTATCATAGTCCCTGTGGTGGTTTGAATAGAAGGTATGACCCTCATAGACTCACATGTTTGAATGCTTGGCCCGTGGGGAGTGGCACTATTAGGAGTGGCCTTGTTTGAGGAAGTGTATCACTGTGGAGGTGGGCTTCAAGGTCTTATATATGCTCAAGCTATGCCCAGTGTGGAACCCAGTCTCTCCTTCTGCTGCTTGCAGATCAAGATGTAGAATTCTCAGCTCCTTCTCCAGCACCATCTCTGCCTGCGTGTTGCCAGACTTCTCCCCATGATGAAAATGCACTAAACCTCTGAAACTATAAGCCAACCCCAATTAAATGTTTTCCTTTATAAGATTTGCCACTGTCGTGGTGTCTCTTCACAGAAATAGAAACCCTAACAAGACCTTATGCTTTAACCTCTGTTATCCCCTCCCACTGTCCTGACTTCTTTCCAACGTGGCCCTTTCCTGCTTTCATGTCTTTGTTTTAGTGACTCACTGAGTTTTAGTGACTCAGTGAGCATGAATGTGGGTTTATTTACTAAAACACGATCTTTTTTTTTTTTTTTTTTGGTTTTTCGAGACAGGGTTTCTCTGTGTAGCTTTGCGCCTTTTCCTGGAACTCACTTGGTAGCCCAGGCTGGCCTTGAACTCACAGAGATCCGCCTGGCTCTGCCTCCCGAGTGCTGGGATTAAAGGCGTGCGCCACCACCGCCCGGCCTAAAACACGATCTTTTTACCCATGGCTATATCACTGAAGAAAAATGCCTCTTCTTGCTTCAGCAGCCATTATCTACCAACAACTTCTTAGCTAGGGATGGGGCCTTAGAAGTCCCTCCCCCATGTGTGTTGAAGGGCTCACTCAATATTGTGATCCTGTGCAGGTAACTATAGCTGCTGTGAATTCAAGAGTCTGATAGTCTTGGCATTTCCAGAAGATACCATTTCACAACACTCCTGTCCATCCTCCAGCACTCACTTTCTTCTGACCCCTCTTCTGTGATGCCCCTTGGGCCTTGGGTGGGGTTGTGGGTTGGAGCAATACTAATGCCACATTTAGGGCTGAGGACTCAACAGTTACCTAATCTCAACATTTTGAGCAGTTATGCGTCTCTGCATCAACCATTGCCACTGCCGAACGAAGCATCTCTGACTGCCCTGGTTAGGTCTCACTGACTTGACACAGCCCAAAGTCACTTGGGAAGAAGTCACTCAATTGAAGAATTGCCTCAATTAGATTGGCCTGTGGCCACATCTATGAAAGATTGTCTTGACTGGTGATTTATGTTTAGAGAGAACAGCTCGTTTTGGGTGGCTTCAGTCCTGGGTAGATGAGTCTGGGATAGATAAGAAAACTGGCTGAGCAAGAAGGCAGAGAGCAAGCCAGTAAGTAGCATCCCTCCATCTTTTCTGCATCAGTGCCTCATCTGATTGCCCTCAGTGATGGACTGTGGCCTGGGAATGTAGGCCAAATACACTTTTCCCCACATTGGTTTGCGTCAGCATATTATAATACAGCAACAGAAAGCAAACTAGAGCACTGACCATGGCTGATATATGGGAATAAACATAAATATTTAGGAGGCAGTTTGACAGTGCGTATGTTTAGCAAAACAATAGTAGCAGGTTCTCCCCTAAGGCCTCTGAATTCCCCAGATATGGGCTTTGACAAGATTTACAGTCTCAGGTATGAATTCATTCCTGTGCAGTGTGCTCAGATCAAACCAGAAAGTGGTTACTTATCCCCACAGCAATCTTACCACTGTTGCCCTAGCAGTCACCTTTTGCCTAGAAATTCAGTATTGTAGTACCCAGGTCCACTTCCGGGTAAGATCAGAGAGGGACATTCTCTCCCAGCAGCCGGCACAGTAAGTGTAGTACATTCTGGCACTCTGAAAGCTAGCCAGCAGGGAGGAAGATTCCAGATCAGTTCCAGCTTGATTTCTTTGTCTCTTGCAATCCAAGAGTGTGATGTCTTTAGCAATGACGTCTTACCATCTAATTCTAGTAGGCAACCAACAAGGTTCTTCAAACCATTGAAACACCATTGGTTTTTTTTCATCTCCATATTCACTAATTTATTGGACAATAAAAATATTAATTACATACACTGACACTAATCTTGTTTTTGTTTACCTCTGTGCTGGCTGGCTTTAGGTCATCTTTACATAAATTTGAGTCATTTGGGAAGAAGAAACCTCTACTGAGAAAATGCCTCCACCAGATCAGCCTGCAGGCAAGCCTGTGGGCATTTTCTCGATTGATGATTGTTGTAAGAACACCCAGCTCACTTCCGGTAGTGCCACCCCTGGTCTGATGGTCCTGAGTGCTGTACGGAAGCAGGATGAGCACGCATGAGTGTAGATGTATCCAACCTTCTTATTAAATAAGAAACACAGAACCAATGCAAAGAAGAAAGCCAAGAGGTCAGAGCTAAGAGCTAAAACCTTACCCTTCCTCCTGCGGTGGTCCTACCTCTCCGAACCAGAGCTACCCCTGTGTTAAAGTCTTTATATAGAGTTCCTGTTCTGCCTTCTCATTGGTTGTAAACCCAACCACATGACTGCCTCCTCGCGGCCTGTCTGTATAGGCCTCCAGGTTTTCCATGATTGGTATTGATTAAAGGCATGTGTATCCAATAATGGCTGTATCCCTGAACACACAGAGACTTACCCAGCTCTGCCTACCAAGTGCTGGGATTACAAGAGTATGCCACCACTGTCCTGCTTTCCTATGGCTTGCTAATAGCTCTGACCCCAGGCAACTTTATTTATTAACATAAAAATAACATTTTAATACAAATAAAATATCACCATACATGAGAAGTAAGCCAGGAAGCAACACATCTATGTAGTTTCTGACTCCAGGTTCCTGCCCTGACTTCCTTCGATGATGGACTGTGACATGGAATTGTAAGTGAGATAAAACCCTTTCCTCCCCAAGTCCTGGGGAGTTTTATCACAGCAATAGAAACCCTAAGACAGGAACCAAAGGTTTACTTTGGCTCATGGTTCCAAGGTATGGTCCATCATGGTTGAAAAATTATGGTAGCAAGATTGTGAGGCAGTTGATCTCATTCTGTCCACAGTTAGGAAGCAGGAGAAAACAAATCCTAGTGTTCAGCTCACTTTCTCTCCACCATGTGATGGTTGCATCCACATTCAGAGTTTGTCTTTCCACATCATTTGAGACTCTCTGGAAACATTCTCACAGGCATGCCCAGAGGTGTGTCTCCTAGTTGGTTCTGAATCCTGTCAAGTTGACAGTAAAGAAGAACCATCACAGAAGGTGTGGAAAAAAGAGATGCTTTAGATGAAAACCACAAAAAGGGATGTCAGCCAGTGCCTACACTTCCCAGTTTTGATTCCGGTGGGTACTGGGTGGCCATGGAGATCAAGCGAATACTGGTTCAGGATTTCACACTGTCACTGTTAGCTGTCGGTCTTCTCTAACTTCTCTCAGATACACTTCCCATGCATGAAATATAAGATATACAAAGAAAGAGAGAAGGAATGTATTTTCGCGTTTAAGGTTCTTAGCATTTTTATGATCACTATCTCTTTATCCATAGAGGTACCTAATCCCTGTGCATGTGTTTCAGGTCCACTGCATCAGCTGTCAGAGAAAAATACTCGCTCATTCTGAAGGAAGAACGAAAAGCAGTCATATGACACACAAAGGCCTGGGATCTAATTCTGCTCACCGTTAACGAAGCATTGAATAAGCCACCCGAGCCCCTGACACTGTCTGGAAGTAAGATCTTCTGAAAAAAAAAAAAAAAATCCGCTTAGACTGAATATTGGAGCTGATCTGCTCCTGATGGTACCCAAAAGGAATACAACTTATCGCTTGCTTTTTTATTTACTTATTTGAAGCGGGGTCTCATGAAGCTCAGGTTGGTGCCGGACTCACTAAGAAGCCAAGGCTGACTGACCTTAAACCCTTTCCTATTCCTCCTGTCTCTGTTCCCCAAGTGCTGGGTTCGCGGGCGTCCACCACTCACGCCCGGCACATACCCGGTCTCTGTAGCTACACCACCTACATCGGGCGAACCTGCGCGCCCAATTTAAATCACCTGGCTTTCGTGCCTGCCTACCCTCGCCCGGTCCCCTCCTCCCAGGGCTGGCGGGGTTCGTGGGGGAGTGGAGAGCTGCGGGTGACTTTTCCAGGGGGCCTGGGTGATAATGATAGATCGATGCGCCTGGGCGCGTGCCAACGGCGCCAGCCGGGCTGGCACGTCCCCGCCCGGCCGGCAGGGGGCGCCGCGTCGGGCGCGGGCGGGGGGCGCGCGCGCGCGGAGCGGGGGCGCGCAGGCCTCTGGGGCCACGCTCTCGCTGCCCACGCCCCACCCACCCACCCACCCACCCCACACCCCCCGGCTCCTCCCCCTGCCGGGTCCTTCCCCGAGGGCGAGCGGCGCGGGGCGGAGGAAACGGCCCGGAGCGGGCCGGGCGCGGCGCGCGCCCGAGGGGGGCGGGGAGGCGGGCGGCGCGCGGGGGGCGGGGGGCGGGGGGCGGGGGGCGGGGGGGGGCGGGGGCGAGTGACTAGCGCGGGCGGCGCGCGGCGCGGCGCAGAGGAAGGCGGCTACCCTGGACAGCGCATCGCGGCCGCGCGGCCATGGTGAGTGAGTGAGTGGGGCCGCGCGCCTCGTCCCCGGCGGGCGGCGGACGTTGGGGCCGCGGTGTGCGGGCGCGGGGCCCCCCGGGGCGCCGGCGGGTAACGGGGCGCGGGGGCGTGTCGGCGCTGCAGCCGGGGCCCAACGCTCTCCCCGAGCCGCTCGCCGAGGGTCTCCCCCCCCCCCCCCCCAGCATCGCGAAGCCAGGCGCCTGGGCACAAAGGCGGAGACGTGGGGGCTGCTGGGCTCCGAGGGAGCCGGTCCTGGGCGGGCAGCGGTCCCAGCCCTTGGGGGAGCTGAGGCAGGAGGATTGCCGCGAGTTCGAGGCCAGCCTGGGCCACGGTGAGACACCCTGTCTCAAAAAAATAAATAAATAAACCACCTCCCCGCTAAAGAAAAGAAGTCTGCCAGTCCTGCGATTGTCTTCAAGTCCGCATTTGTCTTCACTGGTCTTTGTCTTTTCGCCTCCACTTCAGGGCTTGCTAAATTCGTGAAGCGCCTGCCGCTTTTCTTGCCCTACCTGACACCAGGCAGCCCTAGATTGCCCCCCTCCTCCCACACCCTCTCTGCTTGATTGAATGTCTTAGCACTAAAATTCCAGCCCAGCCGTCACTATCTTATTCTCCCTACCCCCTTCATTTTGTTTTCTCTATTAATCAGCATGCTATAATCTGTTTCTTTATTTAGCGTATTGAATGTCTCCATCACCAAAATGCAAGTTTTGGTGAACAGTCTTTGTCCACAGTGTGTGACACATTTCATTTATTTAAAAAAAAAAAAAAACCAGCAAAGGAAAGTACTTTGTGCTATGCCAAGTGGGAGACAGCAGTGTCCTTGACGTGAATCACTACAAGAGTTGAACACTTGACAGAGGTGATGAGAATCTCAAGTGCCGTGTAGGACGGTGACACACTCTACTCTTGGACAGGAGGCACTCACTGATCAGAATATTGGTGGCCGCCTCGTGCTCCTTCTGCCACTGGAGTCTCCTGACATCCGAGTGGACAGAGCATTTTTAGCGCTAACTGGCTCTCTGTGTCCCCCCCCTCCACCCCCACCCCATCCCACAACCTTTGTTCCAAAGTAAACCAGAGATTTTAGTTAGGGAAAGCTTCCAAGAATGTTTAACTCAATAAAGCAGTCAATGGGCATTGACTTAAAAGAGCCAACGTCAAGGAAAAGTCTTACAATTTTGTTCTGAATTGGTTGAGCTCCTTTTCAATAAGCATTTTCAAATCTGTGTCCAAATCAAGCAGTGTCACTTTTGAGAATTGGGGCAGAGAGGGGGAAAGGGTGGGGGTTGGGTTCATAAGTAAGTGGGCCAGTTGATAGACTCTTCTACACCCGAGTCAAAGATGACTCTGCTAACTAGTCTAATGGCAAAAAATACTATTCAAGTTTCTTTTCTTCCCATTTGCACAGTGTAAATTTATGCCAGTGGTCTGTTATTGGTCTAGAGAAGTGTGTTTATTATAATCAGAGACAAACTGTCAATGGCATTGACATGGAAGATTTGAAAATGATGGAGTTAAGATTATACAGCTGGTGGTCCTCAGCTTGTCTTGTCCAGATAGAAATTAAAGCTTGGTTTTGAAATTAAAACCAGTGAACTAAACATAAATTAATTATGCTTCATTTTTTATTTCAATTTGTATCGCAGGAGATTTTACTGTTAGGATTCTAGCAAAAAAATAAGAAAATAAGATTTTCTTTCTTGAACTTTTTTTTTTTTTTTGAGACAGAATCTCTTAGTTCAGGCTAGCTTCAAGCTCTCAATCCTCCTGCCTCCACCTGAGTGCTAGGATCACAGGATGGAACCACCATACCAGGCACAATATATTTTTAAGTTATCCAGCTGGGTAAGCTCAACATTTTAATTCTTTGGTAAAGGGTTGAATGAAATGCATTTCAGTTTGGGAGGTTCAAAGACTGTGGTCTGAAAGATTGTTGGAAATGTGTTAAGTCTATCTGTATCATGCATTTTAGTTGTGTTCAGAAAACAGGGACCTTCTGTTCAGGGTTATGTCAATGATGTTTTTCCTCTGCTGAACAATTAGATATGGTCCACTTAATTTCTGTGGGGGGTGGCGTGGAATTGTTGCAAGTAGGTGTTCACCAAGGAAAGAAGTTGCAGTGGAGACTTGTTAGCTCAAGAAAGTGAAACTGTGTGAACATTGTCGGTAACTCATCATACTTCAGAAGTCACACATTTACCTATTTTTGTTTTCAATTATGAGTAATAAGATTAGGTCATCAGTAAGACTGACAAGGAACCATTCTAATGAATTGTTACTTCCACCATTTAAAGTCTAAAATCTAACCATTGAGTGACTTGAGAGCATGACTTGTTTTGAAGTTGATGTGATCTGGTGTCATAAGTTTGAATCTCAGTCTCACATTTAACTATGTGCCCTCAGGATTTTCTTCCATAAAAAGTGATACTATGTCAGGACATTGAAGTGCATACATGTAATTCTAGTATGTGGGGAGACTGAAGTAGGAGGGCCTGGAGATTGAGATCAACCTGGGTTAGCCATAGGACCAGCCAGAGCAATAGCAACTGTCTCAAGATACAATATTATAAGGTTTGGGGGAGGAATAAATAAGATCATGTACTTTATGAGTCCATTATATCTAATAGAAATATAATATAAAGGATATATGTGACTGAATTTCTGGTAGGCACATTTGAAAAAGAGACTCTGGAAAGCAATTTTAACATTTAACCCACTCTAGGCGAGTGTTATATCCACTTGCAACCAATACAAAAAGCTAAGGAATTTTACACATCCTTTTCACACAAAAACTTCAAAGTATGTCCTGGGCATGGTGGTGCATTCTTGTAATCACAACATTTAGGAGACTTAGAAGGATTGTGAATTCAAGGCTTCCCTAGGCTATAAAAGGAAATCCTATCTGAAACAAAGAAACCTCCAATTTTTTTTTCAAAATTCTAGTGTGTTTATGCTCATAGCTCATGCCAGTTCAGGGTGGCTGTCTGTGTTTTAGTTGGTCATGCTTTGGAAGTCATTACATTGGACAAACGGCTCTCAGTAGCAGGCGTGTCAAACCCATCTCTTATCTCTGAGACCCTTTCCACTCATGAGAGCCTCGCTGCCACCTTAGACCCAGCACTAGGCAAGGAAAGGTGCTCACCTTTCAGCCTGCACTCAGGCTGCTGGTAATTCCACCGGCTCTCTAGGTGACTGTGTCAGAAATCTGATTCTTGGTCCATTCTTTTCTTTCATGTTGTTTTTTGTCCAATATTCTCAGGGTTTTGTTTGAAATGTTTTTATTTCTAGTGTTTTTCTCACCTCTACTCTTTCTGCCATGTTTGCCCTTCCTACAAGGTTTCTGGTTGGTTGTTTTTTTCCCCGGTCTCTTGATTTTTAATTTCTTGCCTCTGCTGAGAAATGATGTTATTGAAACATTGGTCTCCACATCTCCCTATTCTTCCCTCAGTTCTTTCTTATGTTAAGTCAGAATGGTTTCTATTTTGTAGTTCATTTCTAATATCCAAAGAGTCATAATTACTTTAAGTGACAGCCTGGTATTAAAATGATCCATCCAAGAAAAGAAAAGGAAAATAAGCCACAGAAAGAAAAAAGTAAAACTGATCCTGAAAAACATTTTTATAACTTTATTGAACATGAGCTTCATTTAATCTTTCAAGAGAAATCAGTGGTTCCAATTATTAATAGCAGCGACCATGACAGTGGTGACCTCCCACTGAGTGATGCTTGGTGAGAAGCAGAGAAGGCACAACACAGACACAGGACACTGGACAGGTGGTCAGAAAACCCAGCTTCAGTGCTGGCTGGATGACCACTGGTTCTGTCCCTCGGGGCAGGTCTGACACACTGTTTACCAACTTGCTAAATGGGGTTAATCTTTTGCATATGATTATTTTGTTAACATCAGATGGGACCCAGCCAGGGCTCTTCCTGCAGAGTTGTGGATCTGTCTTCTTCCACCACTGTGATTAGATCTATAAGCACACTACTGAAAGCGGAGCCTGCCTATCTTCTCCATATACACCTCAGTACAACTACTAACAGTCCACTCAAGTGCTCGTGGCCCCTTCTAATCCTATACTTACTAATGGTGTCTTTTGTCTTTGTGTCTCTTACTGAATTCAAACTTCCAGAGGACAGGTGTTGTCTGTGTTCAGTAATGTATCTCACTATTAGGTGATCCTCCTAGGGAGGATGCTATCATATCATAGGCATTAAACATTATTGCAGGTTGAGAATGTGAAGGCCAGAACTCCTGATTCCCACCACACTGCTTTTTCTCCATTATCTGCAAGGGTCTATTGAGGAATAATCATTTGCTTTGCAGAAACACAGTACATTCCTCCAGCCAGTGGCATGCCATAGCATTCAGCAACATTTGCTTTACCACAGGGCAGCCAGGCCTGTGCCTGTGTTGTATTTAATAAGCTATCACCTGTGTATCGTCCTGGAGCTGCATTTGCATTTCATAGTCATATTTGTGATCATATATTACTTTAAAAAACAAAATCTAATCATAAATTCTTTCTGAAACCAAAACATGCATTTCTGTAATTGTATCTAATAATGTACTTTGTAAAAGAGGCCAGGTTATATTCTTATTTATATGTAATGACATTTATAGTGTTACTTTTTTACTGAAATTAAAAATGAATATTTTCTTAATATAGACAAAGCTGTGATCTATGAATTTTCTGGTAGCTTTTCACTTCACGTATATTTGTGGTAGTTGGCCATTTAATTATAACTTTAAATACACTGTAGGCAGGGGAGATTGTGGTCAGTAAAGAGATGCTGTGCCAGCAAGAGGACTTGAATCCAGATTCCTGGCACCACATAGAAATCAACAACCCAAAAGCTAGGCATGGTGCAGAACATTGTAATCTCAGTACTGAGGGGGCAGAGACAAGAAGATCCATGGGCTTGCTGTCCAGCCAATCTAGCTGCATTGGAAAGCTCCAGATTCAGTGACAGACTCTGACTCCAAATGT